TTGCTTGAAGGTCTTTGCTTGTCTATACTAAAGGAGGAACAGAACGAAGAGAAAACACTTCGCTGAGTTCTCATTCCGATACTCAGGATAGTGTGACATCCTTACTTCCGATGAACAGACAACTTTCCATCAATGTGCCAGGAGAAGTTGAGCTTCACTCACCGTTGACTAAGGAAGGACTATGAAAGAAGATTTGATCCATGGACTGTTTCGGGACAAAAATTCATATTGAGCCCGAAGGTTTAGGTAGCTCTCCTAGCATATTGTGAATGTCGATGTAGATTGACATGGTCACTCCTTGCAGCCTCCTGGATTTAGAAAGGACACCGTTCTTCTGTAACTGGAAATGAAATGTCGCCTAATGTTGGCTACTCATGCTTTGCTTCTCTCTACTTTCATTATGCTCCGTCTTGATAGAAGTGTAGTGATCGAGCTTGTTACCCAGGTGAAAACACCTACATCACCAACGGAAACGAAATCATATTACATGGTTTGTAGTTTGTGATAACCAAAACCAACTGAAGCATTGGGCTGATACAGTTGCCTCGATTCCTCATTCTGTATCGCCCTCTTAACTCAACTTCTCTGACAATGTGATCAGGAACAGAACAGGGAGCCTTTTGATTCAGACAGTATGGAGAACTGAGAGAGTAAACTCGGGAGTGTTAGAGAAACATAACATCTTCTTGTTGACGCCTAGTCACGTACACAATTTTTAGATAAATTGATCATCTGATCTTCTCTCCGAAGCTCTATGTTTCTGCTACTACTTCATTGTTGTTCTAATGGTGTGCTGTTCGGGAAGATGAGAGAAATTCATTTGATTTTTTTTTTCAGACATCTGCATTCATACACACTCAACTACTGGAACTGTGTACTCGTCGTGATTGCCAACTCTTTTTCGTTTCAGGCAGGCATTCTTGCTAATCTTCTCTGACGATGGGATCAGGAACAGTACGTGCAGCTATCGTTCATGATCTTAGACAAAGTGAAGTTAAGCACATTTACTCGTATCAGAAGACTTCTAATACAAACGGCGAATGTGACCAGTGATGTGTACATGCTGTTTCACTGAAACGGTCAAGATGGAAATAGCTCTATCAATCATTGAACGGTCCGCTCATCATTGGTTATTGAATGTCTCAGACCATAGTTGCTTTGTATAATGTTTTCAACGATTGTATCAGTGAGATGTAGCAGTACGCATCAACACTCGGATGTTGAAAACAATTACAAATGGTCGTTCTCGTTAATACATGAACGGATCATTCTCGACAACTTCTCCTATCATTGGCCCCAGTGAGCCATCGGCTTTTCCATATCTTAGATGGATATCTATGTTATAATTATGTACTGTTTATCCCTTTTCGGGTTCTTCATCATCTTCTTCTCATTCTCCCTTCTCATTTTTGTTCCGACCAAG